AGTGGGCATGAATTACTCTTACAATTGTTTCAAAGTTGGCATCTTTATTTATTGAAATGAATGTTGTTGATAGTTCTGTTTCTGTGCCAAGTGTTGGTATGAACCCGATGCTTTTGTTTGCAATTCTAGCATCAGAGCACATATAAATTAAGTTATGAAAGAAAAGTGTGTTTTACATTGTAGTTATATGTTACCAATATTGAATGGAATGGTTATGTTGCTTGAAAGTGGTAAAAGATTTGTATAAATGGTTTCATTGTCTGGCTGTTCAAGTGGGTTTTGAATCTAGATGGTTATTTTTGCAATACATGAACAGTGGTATTTTGAATATGCACTGCAGTTGTTTGGCAAAATGATACAGGGATTTGGTGTCTCGGACATCGATGATTATCGGGTATGTTGGTGGTGCTTATCGATTTCTTTGCGAAATGCGGGAAAGTGGTGGGGCTAATGCAGTAATGACGATTGTGATGTTATGGATATGCTTAACTGTTCTTGATGGTAGACAGATTCGTGGTTATGTGATCAAAAGTGCTTGATTGATCAGTCAGTGTGATAAATTCAATCTTGAAAACGTGTGCTGATGTTGGTGGTGTTGATAAAGTACAAATTATTTTTGAAGAAAACGATACACTAGATGTTGTTTGTGGAATATAATGAAATCCTTGTATTCTTCAGAAGGAAAGACTTTGATACCAAGCATTGAGGCCTTAGCTTGTTTCGGGGTGGCCAGAGGTTGGAAATCTCGGTCAAGCAAGTACATCATCTTTGAATACAGAATGGACTTTGCAATGATATTTCGAGGACAAGTTTTTTGGATGTTTGGTGCACAGTGCGCCAATTTGTAGGCATCAGCTCGGTTATTCATAGAAGTTCCTTACAGAAACAGTGTAACTTGGTGGGCTCTAATGCTGGGGTTCAGTGAAAATAGGCAATTTAAAGAGCCGACTGATTTGTTTCATTAAATGCTATCTGCAGGTGTTCAACCTGTTGCTGTAAACCTGAGAAGCCTTGTTGTTTTATATACACAATGGGTGCTCTGCAGTGGGGTAAAAGCATCCATGGATTCCTTGTAAGAAACTCTTTTTTTACTTCTAAGGAAGGAAACATATCATTGGAAACTTTTATTCTTAATATGCAGAAGCATTTATGCTGCTAGAATTTGTTTCGATGAAATGTTTGCAAAAAATATTGTAACATCGACATCAATGATTGATGGTTTGCAATACATGGAAAAGGTTTGGAAGCATCGGAAATTTTCCATCAGATGGCGGAGGACCAAGGCGAGCCAAATCTGTTCCTTTCAAAGCTTAGCATCAACTTGAAACCACTCAGGCCTTGAGCTCCGGGTTTGCTATGATTGTGAAATTCATTATTTCCAAGGACAGTAGGATCTGGGAGTACACTTCTTGCTACGTTGAGAGTCGACAAAGACCAAAAACTTGATGAATATGAGCTGGGGGTGCGCTTCTTGCCACGTTTAGAGTCAACAAAGACCAAAAACTTGATAAATATGCAACTGCAAGGCTTATTTTTTCTACAATGTCATTGTACTAGTTTACGTTAAGCAGTTTGCAAATACTCTGTACCCTATAATCTACACGCAACCCTAGAAATAAAATTCGACGTTGGCATTTGATGCTACCAAAAAATATCACCTGAAAGATCTCGAGCTTGATACGACAACTTCACTTTGATGAACACGAATGGTCTGTAACAAAGGCAACGAGGTAGGGAATTTGGTGCGTGAGGCTATAAACTGAAAATAATAATGAAGAACGTACCTTAGGAATGAGCACAGGTTGTGTATTTATAGGCGTCAGCGGTGGAATCCTAGAAGGACTTATTCTATCATGATCTTTCTCTTTGTAGGAAAAAGAGTTAGTGTTTCACCTCAAGCATTCAAATCACTGTTTGAGTCAAAGAAGGAGTCTAACAGGATAGGGATTGTGTTCAAAGTAGGATTAGTGCTTCCATAGGTCACATAGAAAGGTTGACGAGTCGACACATATACCCCCGACCTAAAATGCCCGACCTTGTTTTGGCGTTTTTAGGGGATACTTAGATCGGGGTTTTACTATGTGGTCGGGGTCAACTGGTCGAGTTTGAGACTGACGAGATCTGGAATCATCAGCATTTATCACAGATAATATACCAGATTGACACCCTGCACAAGTTCCAGATTTAGGCGTTTTGAGAAGAGTAGAATTTTGCAGTTTCAACATTAATCAGTAGAGATCACTTCAATCAGCTTCAAGTTCAGCTCCAAACTTCTCTAATCTATCAGACTCTTCATCCAAATCCCACACCAAAGTACGGTTAATCAATCCATCGTCCTCACTTACATGTATCTGCCTTCCACCCAACCTGCAAGAAAAGAACAATTATCAAAGGTGCGTACCGAAAAAGGATTCCTAGACCCAACTCCTATAAAGGATTCTAAACACTTTTACGGCCGTGCAGTATATGCATGAACGGGAGCATGGCAATAAAACCATAGGCGCATGTTAGGTAGGCGAACAAGATTTTAACTTCTTTGATTCCCTTAAAGTGTTCAGTAAGATCAATCACCCTGCCAAATATGTTTGGTTGAAAGGTGAAAATAGGGAATAGAATGGGTGTCCAGGACTGCTGAAGTTTGACATACATGTTCTAGATTGAAAAAAATCCAGGACCTACTCGAATCCTGAACAATTTGGAGCTAAGGCAAAAAATTCCGTATCCTTGCAACATTTTTGATTCCATATCATCGCAACATTTGAAGTTGCATGATACGAGGCTCGTTATTTATGATAGGGACATTTAGCCCCCATTTGGTAGCAATTTTCACCCGAAAAATCAATTTATTTTTTTTTACCATTATTTCACTATTTTAACCATCATTTTTTTACTTCTTCACTTATAGGTGGAACCCACTTCTTTCTCTCTAACGATCAAAAAATAATTCTCATAATCACACTACCAAACAGACACTTAATATTCACATTTAAATTCAACTATTTTCATACTGGTAACAAAAAAAGGTCATTGAGCACATTGTAAATAGGTATAAACATCACCCTCCACTTTACATTATGTAACACTTCACATACCATTTTATTTTTCAAAATTTTAATTACTATTTCTTTTTCATCCAAAAAGTATTTAACTCTTCCGATTATCTTCTCCATAGTTTATATCACATCTATTGACAACATTATTAACCTAATTCATACTCCACACTCTTTTTCTTTTCTTACACAATCATATTTTTTATTATTAAGACGTCCATATGTGTTTTATCTTTCTATGAAACTTCCTAGTAGAAAAGAGGAGGACCATTCATAGAAGATTCTTCCTTTCATAAATTTTTCAAAAAGTTCTAAAATGATAGATATCAAGAGTTTGTCTGCCTTTCATTACAATTTTCTTAAAATTTAATGGTCAAAGTAAAATTTCATTTTAATCCCACATTTCGTACAACCAACAATTATTACCTATTTATTCACCATCCATTTATATCACGTTATAATTTGAAATTATTTTTAGACTGCAAAATAATGATTAATATAAAGTACTTGAACAATATTTAAACTTTCTAATCAGGGGATGATAGATAAGAATTTTCATCATTAGTTTTACTGTATTGGAACAAAAATCAGAATGAAGTTTTTTCTATATTTTTCAATACATCATTAACTCGTTGATATTAAATTATTATTCATTTTAAGTTGAATTCAAGGAAAATGAGTATAATAAATTTTGTAAATCACACACAAAAGGAGACCATCTTTTAAGGAAAAATTGAAAAAACATTCAATGAAACGTCATGCTTTCAAATAATGGATTTTGATATTTGTACACGAGTGGTTGACATGTCCATGTATACTCCCCTTAAATGAGGGGGGCCCATGCACCATGTACATATAACATGCTCCTTCAAATAATAAAACATTTAATAGTAACTAGACATGGTTGAATATGCATTGCATGTTATTCTAAAATATTTTATAGGTGCTATAAAAATAATATTGTAAGATTTGAGAATATAAAAAATAATTAATACAAATTGTTTATTTGGAATGAATGTCACGCGATTTATGCAACGTGATTTTATACCGCAAGTGTACGGTGTTAAGTTTTGTAATATAGTAATAGAGTAAAAAGTGTCGAACTCACAGGGATTGTAATTTAAATTTCACTAAGCACTATAATTGTGCAATTTCTACTTTAT